ATTGAGTATCTGAATTTTTTACAAACCCACCTTGAACCCATTCTGGATAATCTCCCATTAAATATTCGACATCACCTGCACTTTCAGCACGACGGAGCGCCAGCCCATTATGGCGTTAATGTGAGAAATTGGCTAAATGAAAAATTTCGGGTAGATGGATAGGAAGAGGTGGTCCCATACCGTGGCCACCTCGATCTCCGGATTTAAATCCATTAGATTATTACTTTTGGGGTCGTATAAAAGATATGGTATACGCTACAGAAGTTGACAGTGCGGAAGAGTTGCGTGAAAGGATACGTTTGGCAGGGAATGAAATACGGCAAAATAATTTTGAAGTAATGCGAGCTTCACATGCAATTACCCGTAGAGCCGAAATGTGCCTTCGTCAGCAAGGCAACGTTCTTGAACACTTACTTTAAATGTTGTATAAATTGATATTTTTAGTAGAATTTTTGATATTTTTAATAGAATTTTTGTTATTTTTAGTAGAATTTTAAGTAGTATAGACAAAAACAATTTTTGAGAATCATTTGTTTATCGTCGTCATTTTGGCCCATTTTAAGTCATCCTTAGGAAAATAAAAGTAGATACTTCACGTTAAAAAGCTTAAAATTATTATCAAATAGCATTTGCAATAATTAAAAGTAGGTAACTAATGATTTCTTCTCAAACTCAGTCAAACTTCATATTTTCAAGAAATTACCAGCTATTCTTAATTTCAAATACAGTTTTGCTATAATTTTACGATATTTAACGTATCTGACTTATTTTTACCATCCTAAGGATTACCCTAAAAGAGTTTAAACGTCGGTAGTTAAAGAAATAAATTCTCATCAATCATTTTATTGGGCAAAAGCCAACTAAACCATTAAAAAAAACAATTGATTAGTTTAAGTTTAAATACTATTTAGTTTTAACATTTAAAGTTTCTTTATAAAATAAACATTAAATTAAAGCTAAATACATTTCTTTAGTCACCGGTTTTCCAAACCTGAAAAAAAATTCTGATTCCACAAGCCTGCTAATAATTATTGTTTGCACTTTAGAATAAAATAATATGAACTTATCATAAAATTTTCAAATGCTTTTTTCTTGAAAATGGTGCGTCCTAGCGAGATGCAACAAGAGTAGCTTTATTGTAAAGAAAACATTGGGTTTCCAAATTTTTTAGTCAAAAATGTTAAAAACTAACAACAAAAAAACTTAGGGCAATTTTACCTTAAGCCCCCCCCTAATTTGCCCATCTATGAAGTAGATCAAAAACTAAGATTAAGTCCATTACATAGAGCGTAAAAAGGTAAGCATTTGTACTAAATTTAATTTAGTTATCTTTAAGCGTTTAGAAAATATTTACAAAAATGTGTCATCAGAACTTCACTTTAAACACCCTGTATCTCGGAAAAGAAACGTTTTCGGACCTATGTTTATATGAACTTTTACTCCTATTTTAGGATTTGGATTACGCTGTTAAAATATGACCGTCTAATTTCGGGACACCCTGTATATAAGATGATATAAGCTTACATGTGTTTTGTACAGTCTCTTACAAAAATAAAATTGATTAGCATTGAGAATCTCGAACTATTGTTATTCACCATTAAGCGATATTTTTATGTACGACTGTCGCGAGTGAACTACCTTAAGACATAAAAAAAGTCATCAGTATTAGTTTGATATAATAAAAGTCCTAATTTCATACATTTGCAACCAGGGGGGGATATCGCGCATGGTGTCATGGCGGCGCTGACGTCATGCGTAGAGTTGCTAGAGTTGTTGCGAAGTAAATAGAAGTTATTTGTAAATCGTTTATAGTGATTTATAAAAATGTAAGCGGATATTATGTTGGAAAATTTGTTCCTTGTGTGTGGTATTAGTGAAAAACATTATTAAAAAAATATGGTACGCAATTTACAGAGGTAACAGTAACAATAAAAGCAAAAGATTTAAAAACAAACGTTATGTTTTTTCACTTTCCTCGACAAAGAGAGGTTTGTCAGTAGTGAGAAGTGGCCGTGAAGATAAATATAAAACAGAAAAATGACATATTTCTTCCGAGCACTTTTAACCTTCCGATTAAAAGGGACTTTACAGCAGAAGTCGTCATTGGTTCATTCGCAACTCGGGACTTCTCAACTGGGGATCTTACACTTTTAAAGGCTGAACTCGAAACTTGATACATTTCTACACATAGATAATTCGCAACTTGTTTAAGCGGTGTTAACAAATGGATAAGCATAGAGAAATTTTTCAACACAGGAGATGGTCTAGCCAGGAAATAAATCTATGCAGATTTGGTTTTATAATATTCTAAAGGTCATAAAATGTGGAATAATAAGTTTAAATAAAATAATTTTTGAATTATTTCAATAAATATCTAAATATTACATACGATTTGTAGTTATAAGCGAGCTCACGGGGATTCTCATAGCAGTAAAAGAAATCACCAGAAAATAATATCACTGGAAGAAACATTTTCATTTATACAGATAGAAGACAAGCAGTACTCACCCTGGACAGACCTGGGTTAGTACTAGAATGTCACAAAGCTTTGGCATCAACAATGTATAGTCAACTTAAGATGGATCGAAGGTCACGTCACATCAAAAGGTAACCTTCTTACTGATTCACTTGCCAAAAAGCAGTTACAAATAGTTTTTAGACCTGGCCCTTTTATTGGACTGACAACATCGATAGTGACAAACCTTCTTAAAGAACATTCTCTAGTGAAATGCAATTAAAGATGGGATGAAAAAAGAAACTGCAGACTTACCAGGGAGCTTTTAAGTTATTACCGGCATTCTGACTTGACATTGCCAACTACAGAAGCATCTCCATATCATAGGGCTGTCAGAATACGCATTCTGCAGGAGTTATGAACAAGAATATGAGACCATTAACCATATCCTATACGATTTTCTGACGCTTTCATGTATTATAAGATTTGTGTTCGGCGAGAATTGGCTAACACCAGTCGATATAAGAGAAGCACCTCTTGGCGACGTTGTCAACTACATTAAATCTGTAGGCTGGCTCATGGCTCTACTTAGGAGGATGCACAATGGGCGTTACAGATACAGAGATGCATACGGTGAAAATGAGAATATCCAGATGCATTTAAGAAGGTGTGTTGCCTTGCCATACTTTCCATTCGAAAGCGTAGACTATGGATGGTTGAGTATAACAAACTCGCTTGAAGGATAGTATAACCACTTAAATATTCCGACCATTACGACAGTATACAGAAAAGGTGGAATTTTAAGACACCAAATAAAAAAAATTGCGACAGTTTTACTTGTTGAAAGAATAAAAAACTGTCAGTAGCTACTTAAATCCAGGAAAAATGCAAATTTTATTTGCTTTTTTTTGCTCTGTATTATATTATTAAAAAAAAAAAAAACGATTTCAAAAACTTGCACATGCCATCACAACATCTTAACCAAATTTATATGGAACCACCCTTGAGGTATCCCCTTACTAACAAAAAAGAACCACATAAATCGGATAAGGTGGTAAAGCATTATCGCTAAACATACATTAAAAATGAAGAGTTTGTGGATTTTCTCATGGACCCAACTATTAGATTTTGACCAGATGTATATTGGACTACCCCTGAAGTACTCCCTTTCTATCAAAAATCATTGAAATCGGACACCGTGTTAAAGAATCATCGCTGAACATACATTAAAAAAAAATATTGCGACGAATTGAGAACCTCCGCCTTTTTTGAAGTCTGTTAAAAAATAGTATATTCAATTGGGTAATAAAATGCAGATAAAAAAAGTCACCACTTGCAAATCCTAATCAGGTAAAAATTTCCGGCATCCCCAGATGCGAAATTTTTACTCAGACTTCCCAGTTGAGAGATTGCAAGTTGCGAAGATATCCTTTTCATTATCCTGGCTATAGAAATTATTCGCTAGAAGTCGAATGTTCTTAAAAATTAAAAATCTGAATTCGAAAGTATATAATAAAATAAATCAATAAAAAATAAAAAGGAAAGAAACTGTTACTTAAAATAAATACTTCTCCTATGTATGTATTTACATTTATTTTTCATAACTATCCTATAATAATATCCTTAAATTTCTTAAATATTATCCTTTAATATGTTATGAAATTTCTGTAAGTAGCATTTATTTTCCTTTCACTTCGTCAGTATTTTTAAATTCGCGCCAATACAATCTCTACGCGTGACGTCATGCGCGTGGCAGTTCTATTTTTGACACTGTTGATATCCTACCTTTTATTTTTTATACCATGATTTGCAACTTTAAGTTTGAATATCGTCAGAACAGCTCACTCTATGAAAAAATAAATTAGAACTTTTTGTAGAGCGTTCAATTTCCTACCAAAATATTTTTTCACTTTATTTTTACAATGCTTAAATGTAAAGCTACAAAAATAAGAAAAAAGAAAAAAAAATTTCCATGTTATTTAGATGGAAAATGGAAAGTTAGGAACAGGCACCAATAAATGATAATATTAAGAACTCAAATTTTTAGAGGCTTCTTTTTTCACCTTCATGAAAGTTTTAAGCCTGTTTTTTAGTTGAAAAAAAGAAGTCGCTCAAAAATGAAACACCCTAATAGTTATTTATTATGTATGATACAAGTGACTTACGACATATATCAGTCAAGCTAAATGTTTTTAAGTACCTTTTAAAAGATATTTAATTTTGATTTTGCATAACCTGATTGTAACAAATTTTTATTAAAATTCAAGCTAAAGCAATAACAAAAGTTATTACTGTCGTCGTTAATGTAAACATTTATTCTTATTAATCACTGTCCATTATTTCTTTGAAATTAAATTTTCTATAAATAAATTTTTCGAAAAATGAGAGAATACTATACTGATACAACATACACTTGCCATTTTTTAGGTATAAGGGATAAGATTTGTTTTATATGTGAATTAATATATTTTAAGTGCTGGTGTATCAAATATCCTAAAATGCAACATACCAAATTGGTCTACTGAAATATTTAAACAAATTTTACCTTATCATCAACATTGAAATGAGGCTTGACATGTTGTTCATAAAATTCCTTAGGTGTCACTGGTCCAATACTATGAAACGCCTTGTTCTTATCATAGTATGACCAGGTGAATGATTCACTTGGTATTCCTAAACAGATGCCCACTATTCTATAAATATTAGTCATTTGTTCAGATATTAGACTTTGAATATCACCGTCGCTTCCACCCTAAAAGAAAAATTAATTTTTTTGCTGCTATTAATGTGACTATATTTAATTTTCTACCTTAGAAATGAGTTCTCTGATGCATTTAGCATACTCACGTAGTTTGCTTTTCAAAACCTGGTTCATTTTGACGCTCTGCTCGCAACTGAATGATTCAGGGAAATTTTTTTTAGGCATAAGACCATGTTTGTTAATAAGATTGACCAACATGTCCCATTGGCCGCCATCACATGTTGGATCCTATTTAAAAAACAGATTCATAAATAAATAAATAAAGTAGGAAACTTGGGCGTTAAACAGTAAGGAAATTTCTTTTTTAACATACATGTAACAAAAACGAAACCAAACGTCCATCGACACTCTCATTTCTTCTCGCAGTTTCAACGATATTGTTAAGAAAACAGTTACATCTTTCGATTTTGTCCCAGAAAAATATATAGGACTGGGAGAATTCGAAATCCTCTACATTGTGGTGTTTCATGAAGGGTAAACGCATCACGTTTAAGGCAGCAAATATCCAACAACGCCCTGAACTACGTTGATTCGTGATAGGTTTGGCTTCAGCTTCAATCTATAAAAAAATCTTGGTGTAAAAACTTGCCTAGACTACTTATAAGTTTCTGCATGGTCTAAAACCTTAAATAAAACTACCAGATATTATTCAAAATTGCCATTATGTCTATCTACTGTTAAAAATATGTTTTGATAATTTTTTACATTCTCTAACCTCTAGCAATGAACATTTATGAATCTATATCAATATTAGTATGAAATCAGAAAGTATGAGGCAAAATGAATGAACGGAATTTACTTCTAGAGATTAAAGGATGACTCTGCCTGTACAAACTGTCTGAATAGGTCTCGGAATAAATTTAACAACGAGGGGTAAACACATCCAAAAAATGTGTATAGTTCTTCCATTATCAATTGCAGATCATAAAAACTCGTTCAGAACCTTTACCGACAATTTTGTTTGATCTGCCATAGGCGTAGATACCTACCTTATTTTATAAATTTATTTTATTAATAATTTTAATATATATCATATGCAAGAAAGTATTCGTTAAAGGGAAATCGAATAATTATAAATTGGACGTTATTATACGCCCTTATTTAGACAGATGCTCGTTAACTTGCTACAACTGAATATTAAATTATAAAACGTAAAGCGTAAAGCGAGTAAAGTGTACCTGCCTGTAAGGGCGTTTGGTTTAAACAGGGTACCAGACGTAAACTGAACCCTTTTTGTACCCCATTCGTTCTTTTTCTGGAAAACGAAATTTCAAAGAAAAAACCATAAAGGAAAATAAATTCTTTGCAAATAAAACAAAAGAAAAAAAAAACAATTCAATTCTAAAGTATCTTTATAAATAATCATGGCAGTCTGAATCCTCTGAACTAGAGTCATCATTTGGTTGAATTATGATGTGTTGTAAAGAGGGTAATACTACATACTCATCTTCTTCTTTGATAACATGTTCAACAGTTTTTCCAAAGCTCTTGGCGTTCTGCTGCTAGAACTTTCTTTACGAGTTCTACAACTTCTTTACTCAGTTCTGAAGACTGATTACATTTTCGTAATTCTGATTTTAAGTTTGCCAATATTAACTCTATAGGGTTAAATATGCAATAGTAAAGAGGTAGTCTGAGAAGAGTTTGCACAGCTTGTCAATATAATACATTTTTTCTAACTTTATACCTTTAATAACAGTAAGCAATTCTTTGTTTGTTGGTCCTTTTTTACTATCACTGGCAGGAATAGGAATATTTTTTTCAGACATAAAAGCTAAAATTTGAGCTTTTTTACTGCTACTATTTGGTATTTTAAGGAGTTGCCGCGAGTGGTAGGATGCGTTGTTCATAACGATTACTGTCTGTGGTGGAATGTAAGCTGTTAATTAAACCGTTTTTCAAATAATTCTGTTGTCATATCTTCATGATAATCAGCTGCACAGTTTTTAATTTGTTTAGCAGATAATAATAAAGCATTAGGCACGAAACCGTCTTTGCTTCCAGCGTGTACTATTATAATGCGTTTCCCTTTAGAACATGGCCCATTCAAACAGCAATTTTTACTACTGCCAACCCAACCGAAATTTACTACATCGTGACTGTCAAACCATGTTTCATCTAGATAAATTATGTGTCTATTAGAACTTCTGTAGCCTTTTATCTGACGCAAATAATCTTGTTGCCATTGACGATTCGGTGATTGCCATCTGTTTATTCAGTTTTTTGTGTTTAAAACCACATGCTGACAAAACTTGACGCAATGTTTCCAAACTGGTATAAGTGTATCCTGGAAAATCTGCCACCTTTTGCTGTATTACTTCCAATGTCGGAACCCTGTTCTCCTTATATAAACTATAAATTGTCCTTCGTATAAAATCTTGGGTAGCTCTGTCAACTGATTTCAGTTTTTCTTTACATGTTTTTCGGTTTTATGAATAATCCACAGCAACCGCTTTCGTGACTACCGGATAAACGGAAAATTTATTTACTTTAGTTAATTCAGCAATTGTTATTATAAACGCATTATCAGACTGCTGAATATTTTCCTTTTTTAAACATTTGAATATATTTAAAATAACTTGTTGTGTTTGTATATCTAAATCCTTATCGTTAAAGTCATACCTGTCTTTAATCTCACTACACTGTGCAATTTCATTTTCTTCATTCGCCCATGGTCTAAAGAACGCCATATTTATATTTATTAAAAGAAATTTAAATTAAACCAACCACACATACAAAACACACCGCACGACAGTACTCCACTGATATCGCAGACTGTCTTCCAGGAATATTTTCGAACAGCTGCCTTCCGTAAACCTTCGGCCAATACAGTGCATTTAAGTTTACAATTCGATGTTTTCATTGGTAAACAACTGATGGTTCGTTTAATATTTACCGCTTTGTATAAGGGGAGTAAATATTATTTATCGTTTCTTAATTTGGCATGAGTACCGTGCGTATATATTAAATATTGATGGTTCCCCACATAACTGTGTTCTGCAATTGATAATGGAAGGACTATACTCAAGAATTCCTAACATAAAGAATACCTGAGAATTCCCGGTGATACCCAGAGACTTCCCGGGAATACCCAGAGACTTAGTATTTTTTAAAAACTACAGGATGCTTTGTTGGAACAAAGTCAGCAGAGCACATCGGTTAATTAATTTTTTTTTCTGAAAACTACTTATGCCACTTAGCATAAAAATTAGTGTTTTTTTTTTAAACGGGTGCTTTTCTAGTTTCGAAAGAATCCAGCAGAGCACCTTTGTTTTATAAAGCTTTTTTCTAAAAAAAAAAAAAAAAACCACACCACATTTTTAGGCTATTTTTGGGCTCTTGAAATTTTATGAAACTTTATTAAATAATTGCTATTTTTAAATAATACAGAGTGCTTTTTGAAACAAAGTCAGCAGAGCACCTCGTTTTATTCTTTTTTTTTTTTCAGAAGGAAACAACTACTTATGCCATATGTTTAAGCTCATTTTAGGCTCTTAAAATATAAAACTTTTCGAAAAAAAAATTAGTATTTAAAAAAAAAAATACAGAATTCAGAGCACATGGATTTATTAATTGAAAACTACTTATGCCACATTTTTAAGCTATTTTTAGGTTCTTGAAATATAAAACTTTCTAAAAAATGCAGCGTGATTTTTTAAAACTTAAAAAAAAATCACACCATGTTTTTAGGTTATTTTTAGGCTCTTAAAATATTTTAAAACTTTACTAAAAACTTGCTATTTTTAAATATTACAGGGTGCTTTGTTGTAACAAAGCAGAGCACTGGTATTTTTTTTTTTTTTGAAAACAACTATTTACCCCACTTTTTTTAAGCTATTTTTGGGCTCTTAAAATATAACTTTTCGAAAAAAATTAGTATTTTTTAAAAAATACATGGTAGGGTGCTTTGCTAGCTTTATAATATTTCAAGAGCTTAAAAATGTGGCACAAGTTGTTCCAACAAAATTTTTTTAGTAAAGATTTATAATATTTTAATAGTCTCAAAATAGCCTAAAAATGTGGTGTGATTTTTTTTAGAAAAAAAAAATTCCAAAAAACCGAGTTGCTCTGCTGGATTTGTTCGAATTTAGCAAATAACCCATATTTAAAAAAATAGTAGTTATCGCAACAAGTGCTTCTAGCACGTGTTACGATCAACATTTTTTTCTACAAGCGCATTTATTTCTAAAATAGAGAATTAACCTGTATAATGACATTAGGTACAACATACAGTTTAAGTATACATATACAGGGTGGCTCACGCTCAACGTGACGGAGCTTTATGGGAAAACGACCAAAGATATAAAAAATTCGTTTGGGAGGAATACGTAGGTTACAGACGGCTACAATTTAAAATTTGTTAGATGTATACAGGATGTCCCACATAAGAAAAAAAAAATTAGTTCATTAAAAATTATTCAAACAAGAGTAAACAATTAATTTCTGGGAGACTTTTTTTCCTTAAAAATAGTAATAGGGAACCTTTAGTTAACTGACATTATTTTTGATGTAGTTTTTAATTCTAAAATAAAAAACAGGGTGTTCCATTAAAAATAATATAACTTTGTATATTTTCTCTTATGTGGGACATCCTGTATACATCTAACAAATTTTAAATTGTAGTCGTCTGTAACCTACGTATTCCTCCCAAACGAATTTTTTATATCTTTGGTCGTTTTCCCATAAAGCTCCGTCCCGTTGAGCGTGAGCCACCCTGTATTAAACCGATGTTCTGTGCTGAATTGGTGTAGTGGTTAGGGTTTCGGGCTCATAACGCAAAGATCTTAGGTTCAAACCCGGGCATGGGCGGTAAGTATACCTTGCTTTTTTTCAATTTATATTTCTCTGCGTGCGAGAAGATCATCTTCTCGCACGCTTGTAGAAAAAAAATATTTTTAAGCTATTGCACAGCTTTTATCGCGGGCTTTGAGCGTGTCGACCGAATCAAGAAATTCCATAACGAAAATAAACCTAACACCCCCCACTCCGACCGGCACAGCGGTAAGGCGTTGAAAGTCGTGGAAGGTTTTATCCGACCCTATTCATATTAGTATGAAGCGGAGTTAAATATACGTCTGCGGACTGGAACGTTTATGCAATACAAGAACTAGAAGAGCTTTCTCTGGCTTCTAATAAATTGGTATCACAAATGTTCCCGGCTGGCGTAAATATTAGATATTATTTTTTTTTGCAAGATTTATAAAATATTAATTTTTATTTAATCAGTGTTAACTATTTCATTATTAAGCTATTGCATAGATTTTATCGCGGCACAGCGGTGCGGTGTTGAAAGTCGTGCATCGTCTAACGTCGTTTCAGTTCGGCAGACTTCGGCACGGTGTTTGTGTGCGTGCGACTAGACGTATGCGTGTAGACTAGCTGCTAACTGCTCATAACTGATTCTATCTCTTTTAGACACAATTTCGGAAAAATTGAATTTGAAAATGAATAATGATCCACAAGAATCCACAACAAAATATGGGAGACCACCATTGACGCGGTATTTTCCAGATATTTAGAGGATATCAAGTCTCAAACTTATGTTTCTTATTTCAGTTA